TATTATCTTATTATCTTTATTGAGAAAATATTGATTTACAGCATTATATTTGATATATATTATAAAGCCTTGCACACCACCAAAGCACCAATAATCCTCCAACATAGTCCACTGGGCCTTTCATTCTTTACCTCCCGCCATCTACTATTCCCCTTTGGTAGCCTTGATTCTGCAGTCAGATTTCTATGGTTGTTTTGGTTTCATTTTGTTTATTCTCTTTATGGTTTATTTATATTCCACATGAGTGAACTTATTTTACATTTGCCTTTCTCTTTCTGACTTATTTCTCTTAACAAAATCCTCTATAATTCCATCAGTCTTTTACAAATGGCAAGATTTTTTTTATGCCTGAGTAGTATTCCATTGTGCATATACATATACCACATCATCACAATCTACTCATGGGCTTGGCTATTTAGGTCCTTCCTATAACTTGTCTGTTATAGTGCTTTAATGAACACAGGAGTACATATGTCCCATCAAATCACTTCTTTTTCATTTTAAAAATAGATATGTAGGAGAGAAATTGCTGGATCATATGGCAGATGTATTTTTAATATTTTGAGAAACTTCTATACTCTTTTCTATAGAAGTCATGTCAGAGCCCACCAACAGTTTACCAAGATTCTTTTTTCTCTACACTCTCACCCACACTTGTTATTTCTGGTCTTCTTGATATGTGCCATTCTCATTGGCGTGAGATGGCATCTCATTGTGGTTTTGATTTGTAGTAGTTTGTTGCTTAATGATGATGATTAGCACTTTTTACATGCCTGTTGGCCATCTGTAGTATGTGGCATCATAATCAGTAGGAATTTTAGACTTATTTGGGTGAGGCAAAAAGTCAAGGACATTTAACAAAGGGGGGAAATGAAGTTTTCTCTATTTATATAAATGACTTGCATCAGAGTTGTGATCTCTTGTGGTAAGAGAGCCACACATAAAGTACACTAATAAGTAAGCGGGTCTGCCATAAAATAATCTTTACCAAACAGCTTATGGATAACATAAGTCACAGATTTAATAAACTCTGAGACTTGAAAATTATTTCAGGGATTTCTTCAGAGTAACAATCGAGAAAGGTCATCTCAACAGCCACTGGACCACCTCCTCCCCTCTAACTCATGCATTATTCAGCATCTGGTTAGAAGTCAGAAAACACACTAGTCATTTGAGCAGAAAAATTTAATACAAAGAATTATTAGGTGGTAAAAAGCAGTTACCTAAAAGGGTGTTGGAGAAACTCATTGGCGAGTTAATTCTGTTAGGTCTTGCTCAGGTCACTGGTAGCCACTGTAAAAGGTACTCAATTCACTCCTGAATCAGGAGAACCACTTTTTCTAGCAGGGTCCCTCCAGTGCCCTCTGTGAACAAAAACAGTGGCAATGGGAAATGTGTTGATGGAATCCAGTATCCCAAAATGAATCAGGGAAGTTACTGACCAGTGGGATTCTCCACCTGACCTGCACAGATCTGATCAATGATCTCAGGTTTCTGAGAAGTCAGCTTTACTTTGAATTGATTGTTGAGGACAGGAAATTAAGTTATATAGATTTGGGTTGGGGGGAGGACAAGGGTTGAGAACAAAAAAGTCAAATTTTATTGGCTGAAAAGTAGGTTAGGGGCAAAGATATGTGGAGCTGACTGAAGTTCATTGGCTAGTCACAGGGCACTACACACATGATGTATGAAAGCCTTTTCTTCAGAAAAGAGTTTTGAATTTTGGTTGATAGGTCCCTGCCCCTCTTTGCGATCTCAAGCTATAGCCAGACTTGCTGCTCAGATCCAGTAAGACTGTAGCCACAACTGTGTATGTAAAAACAAGTTTCAGAAAATAGTTCAAATAAGTTTTTTTTCCCCCTTCTTTGTACCAATATAACCGTTTAGGCTCAGTTTCAGGGTCTGAGAGATAATTTGACAACCAGCATATCTCCTTTGTATCTTAATACGTCTTACTAAGCAAGATGTAATCTTCTCGTTTTGTTCTACTTTTGTTAACATAGCATATTATTAGAATATTTCTAAGCATGCATAATCACATAATTTTAATCATTATAAACACATTATGAACACATTAAATGTTCCTTAATCAAATATATTTCCCATCTTCCTAAAATATATCTAATCTGATCAAATAGTTCATACTTCTATGGACAGCTTAACTTATGGACCTTACAAAGTTTCACTTCAAACTTTTTCAAGCCATATGATGTTGAAAATGATACAGCTACAAGAGCTTAAAATTTTTCACCTTTATTTTCATCTCAAATAATAAAATATTACTTCAACATGTTAAAGCCTGACATTTTCTGTGAAATAATAAAGGTGGGGGCATGGACTTCCAAAAAAAATAGTTAGGTCTAGTCTGCATGTAACACCAGTAGCTTAAATAATACTGTCATCCTTTGGTTTCTCAAAGGTGCTTCCTAGGAAACCCTATTTGAACTCACAGGTAAGTAACTTACTTGACTCCCATTTTCATTTTATATTTGCTTCCTATCTCTCATTCACTAGAATATTTGTATCATACCCATTTTGATAGCCATTAACGTTTGGCTGATTTTACATTTGATGCATTATGTCACTAGCTTCCAATAGCATTTGTATAAAATAAACATCAGACAGAGAGTATCTTCCCATAGGTTTGCATTCTTTATATAAAGAAGACTAATTTAGGATTAGTCATCCTTTATGGTCTAGAGAAAAACAGAATAAAATTTACATACAAAAGTCATAGATTCAAAATTTAAGTTCTTTTAAAGTCAAAAAATGTACAAAAAGTTGTCTTATTTCAGTGTATGCTTCAGAATCTGCAGTTTTTCTGAAGTTTTTGTATTCACTAAATCATTTTTCATTACCCATTTTGAAGTTTTGTAGTAACAATTAGTATAATACTATACAAAACTCTTGCTTTTGTTAAAGGTATGGAGGTTTGGTTGTTCAGTGACAGAGTAACTTCTAAAAAATTGCATGTCTGGGAAGGAAAATTTTGGAGAATATTTTTCTGAGAAGACCAACCTGGTCATTAAAATCAAGCTAGTGACATTTAAAACAAGCTGACTTTAAGTGTAATATCTTAGGTTCACTATTATTTGGGGTGGGAAGGGATATAAAATCTACCCATCTAGAAATAGATACTAGCTACATTTACAAGAAATCTAGATGGGAATCCAACATAGGAAAGCTGGGACTTTCCTAGAGGGAAACATATGAATGTTTTTCCCCAGTGCAACAACTTGGGTTCTTTCCTACATCTGTCACTCTGGCTCTCATCTTTATTCACTCACTGGCTGCAGAGAGGGGCTCCTGGCAAATGCTCACAGCACCAAGCAGAATAGATGAGGTAGTAGCACCACCTGTAGGTCCAAACCAGAAAGACAGTTTGAAAATCTTCAGTCTCCTCTTCCCCCCAAATTTTTGGTCAACACAATTAATTAAATATCTATATAAGAATAACTAATGTTTATTGAGCCCTTAATCATAAGCTCTTTAAACACAGTAATTCTTTCAGTGTCTATAGTAACTAAGGCTGTTTGGCAGTTGACGAAAGAGAGATTTAATTAGAAGTCACTTGTCCAAAAAGACACAAATGATAATATGTTGAATCTGGGTTGGAAGCCTGACAGTTCAACTCTACAGCCTATGTTCTCAACCACCATCCTGGATCTCTGAAGATGCCATGTACTAAGACATGGTATTGCCTGACTATTGATTCTGCTGAAATCTGCTAAATTCTTATTGGGCAGAGACATTAATGAATACTGCAAATATGACATATGCTTTCTTCTTGGGAATTTTTTCTGCCTGAAGGAATTTATTTAGAAGTAGTGCCAAAAACCACAATTAGTCATCTGTTGCACCTTTGCAGTCATAACAAGAAGGTTCTACTTTGTTCTTTCCTTCATTTTCCTTTTTTCTTCCTGTGTTCTGTTTTTATAATTGTATGTGGCAGGATGGCAAGTGAAAGGTATTCCAAAGCAAATTATTTTAGATGATTTTTGGCATCTCTACTTATTTTTCGTGGCTCAGTAATATTATTTAGTTCCTTTAATTTCTTTGTTAACAAGGACTAATGACAAGATAACAAAGAATAAGAGAAGTTAGGAATGGCCAAGCAAAAAGAAATAAAGCATCTCTGTAGAATTCTTTCAGACTAGTAACTTCTAATGTTCAGGAAGAGAGCTTAAAAGTAAATTATATATATATATATATATATATATAATAGGTTTTTTCCCCCCACAAGTCAACTTCTAAAATTCAGCTTTTCTGTCAGATTACAATACACTCTATTTCAACACAATAGACGTGAACTCATGTTTTCGAGTTGCTTGACAATTAAAACGAGTTGCCTGACAATTTAGATAAAACCAGAGGGAAAGGAAATGGGGACAATTTGAGACTAAGTTTCTGCCACCCCATCTGAATGGAGCTTGAAGTAGAAGTTGCAATATACAAAATAAGGGGGTCTACACTTACTACACACCATGGTTTGTGCTCTGAGACTCCTATTGGCTGCAATTGTTACTAGTGAACATTTGTTGAACGAGCAAACGAATTAAATGAATAAATGAAAAATAAAAAAGGCACGTTTCACGTTTCTCCTGGTGCATGGCAAGGAGGACTAAGAGGAGTACATGGGACTGGACATCCACAAGTATGGCTGACTAGTGACCATGGGACAGACGTGTGTCTTCTCTTTTAGCAGCTGGGCTATTTCCCTCGGAACTATTTATGAGAAATACATGCGAGGTTTTATTTCCCAAGATTCCCGTGGAGTGGCAAAGTACGTCAGCCAGGGAAAGAACCAGTTTTCATTTTCGGAAACGTCTGTAGAAGAGGTGAGCACTAGGACAGGAATGGAAGTGCTGTCTTCCCTTCATACTTAAAGCGTCCTATTAGCCCCAAGCTCCGCCCCCGTCTGACCCGCCTCCCCGGGCAGCTCGGATTGGCTCATCCTCCACTTCCGACTTCTGGGACCCACTTCTACAGGGCTTCCGGTGTCATGGCGGCCTGAATTTTCGGCTGTCGGTGGGGCGGCTGCAGGCCCGTACCCGCGGAGCCGCTGGTCCGGCAGGCGGGGATGTGACCACGGGCTCTGCCGGCCGTCCCGGGCGTCGCGTCTGCTCCCGCGTCAGTGCCCTCGACCCACACGGATGGCGGGGTCCGGCTGCTCTTGGGGCGCGGAGCCGCCGCGCTTCTTGGAAGCCTTCGGGCGGCTGTGGCAGGTACAGAGCCGCCTGGGCAGCGGCTCCTCAGCCTCGGTGTACCGAGTGCGCTGCTGCGGCACGCCCGGCTCGCCCCCCGGCGCCCTCAAGCAGTTCTTACCGCCGGGAACCACCGGGGCTGCGGCCTCGGCCGCCGAGTACGGTTTCCGCAAAGAGAGGGCAGCGCTGGAGCAGCTGCAGGGTCATCGGAACATCGGTAATGCTGCGGTGCGGGTCTTTGCTACCCAGGTCCCGGCTCTTGGCAGACTCTGCCCTCACCAAACCTAGCGTTCGGTCTCACCCAGTACAGCGGGAGAGCTGGTCTGGCCTCGCAGTGGATCCAGGCCCCTTCCCCTCCCCCTTTTCAGTCTGTCACTGTCTGCAGAACACCCAAGTTGGTGTGCTTTACCCAGAGCCGTGTCCATGCTCAATAAGTTCTGTTTTACTGCGGGTCTCTTCGGAGTCGGCTCCTATTCGCATAGAGAGTTACCTCTATGAAAGAGGGGATATATATTTTTTGTTAGATTGACATGTATAGAAATTTTTACATGCCGGTGGAAAATAGGGAAGTTGTGTAGGTCTTGGAACGTCAATGCTAGTAACTCAGATAGGTGTTACAGGATACATGTTTGGTGTGGGAGAAAATGACTCAGGATTACATGAGTCTTTATGGAAGGTGGAAATGAGAAACGCTTTATGATTTTATCCTGGTAAGGACTGTTTCTTGATTCAGATAATCAGAATGTAAGTTTTGTCATATTACTAATGATTTAGCTATAAAAACAGTATACATTGTCTTTACAACAGCAGAGAGCTTATCATTAGTTATAACTCAGCTAGTAAAGAAATTCCTGGCAAGCATAATGTATTTGAAGAGTTAATCCTTTAAAGTGACCATGTGAGGAAGAATTTGTTCACACCATTGTCGCCTTCTTTTTTAAGCTTGCTAAATGGTATTTAATACCTTAGTATTCAAGAGGAAAATTTCTGCAGTTTTTTAGGTCTAACGACTTGTTGAATCTTTTTAAGATTAGGCTAAAATACCATCTTCAAATTCTTCGTCTCTTTTAGCATTTTGGATATATAGAGTGTTATTTTGAATCAAGACCCAGTCTTTTGTTTTTGCATGTTGTGTCATCTTAAGACTACTTAATATTTGGGTTTTTCTGTTCCACCATTTTTGCTATGTATGCTAAGTGCATATTCACTCACCACTATTTGGTGAAACACAATTTGAACTGTTATGTGGTATTTAATATCTTTGAATAGCAAGCTTGAAGGTTGTTTCATTTGATTTTATTAAAATAACTCGGCTTCCTGGACATTTTATTCACAGGAAAGATAGCACCGTGGTAGCTTCTTTGCTTATCAAAGTTATCCTTACCTAGACTAACCTAAATTTGTACAGCAGAGCTTTAACTTACTCTGAATCACTTACTCTGATTTTTTTCTTTAGTGACTTTGTATGGCGTTTTCACGATTCACTTCTCTCCGAATGTGCCATCACGCTGTCTGTTGCTTGAACTCCTGGATGTCAGTGTTTCGGAATTGCTCTTATATTCCAGTCACCAGGGTTGTTCCATGTGGATGATACAGCATTGTGCCAGAGATGTTCTGGAAGCCCTTGCTTTTCTTCATCATGAGGGTTATGTCCATGCAGACCTCAAACCACGGAACATACTGTGGAGTGCAGAGAATGAATGTTTTAAGCTTATTGACTTTGGACTTAGCTTCAAAGAAGGCAATCAGGTAAGAATACTTTCCTGCCTTCTCTCCCAACCAAAAGTCTAAGCCAAATATTTCTAAAATATCTTTTGGTTTAATAGAGGTTTTAGAGAGAGAAATGGTGAAGCATAAGAGAGTTGTGGAGTGATCAAGAGTATTTTGCCTGAATGGGATGCTTTTTATTTTCTAAGTATTTGGTTAATTGCTGAATTATTGTTATGGATGTCTTCAGTATTTGAGATCTAGCCAATGGCAAATCATGTTGTCAAACCCTTCCAAAGTGGCATGGTTTGTTAATGCTGAGTAGAGTATCCTTTTATCAGCAGGATTTAGTAGGCAGGAAACAGCCTAAAGAAACAAGCAACCATAGGGAATATGTACAGCTTCTCACAACTGTGAGAACTGCCCAGTTGATGAATCAAAAATTATGGTAACCAAAGACTAGATATTTGTGATAATCAGCTTGCTAAGTGGCTTTCTACAGTTTTAGTGAAGTAAATACTCTGTAGAGGTGGATGAAAAGTGAATAGTTTTTTATTGGTTATATCTACTTATCTTCATTAGGATGTAAAGTATATTCAGACAGACGGGTATCGGGCTCCAGAAGCAGAACTGCAAAATTGCTTGGCCCAGGCTGGCCTGCAGAGTGATACAGAATGTACCTCAGCTGTTGATCTGTGGAGCCTAGGAATCATTTTACTGGAAATGTTCTCAGGAATGAAACTGAAACATACAGTCAGATCTCAGGAATGGAAGGTAAATTGCGCCATGCGCCTTTGATTTGCTTAGGGTCCTTAAATGTGCTTTATAATGTTGCTTATTGGAGATTCTGACTGTTTCATCTCTTCCATAATCCTCTTCTTTCATTTATGGTAACTTGAATGCCCTCTTTACTCCCAAAGCTACAGATGTGTTTTTAATCTGAGGCCTGGCTTATAGTAAGTGCTAGATAACAATATATGATTGAATATATTTCCTCAAAGATGTAAAAGTGAGTTGTTTAGTAAGTTATACTACATTCTAAAATACTACTCATGTAGTAAGATAAATTAAATGATAATCTCCCATTATGTTTATGGTTAATACTTTAAAAGGTATTTTAATGCACAATTTCATTGAATTTTCCTAACAAGCCTATGAAGATTATTAGGAGATAAAGGATAAAGGTTCTTTTACAAATGAAAAATGAGATACAGATAATGTAAAGTCATTTGCTTCTGATCCTACAAATGGGTAGTCCAGACTTGAGCCCCAAATTCTTTCTCCCATTTGATCCATAATTCCGCATTGCTTCATAATTATTTATATTTGATATGTGAACTATCCTAGTAAAGTGAATGCTGATTTTAACATTTCTTTGGGGACGTAGCTTCTAAGTTGCAACACTAACCTAAGGAATGAACTTTTTATATGTTCTTAAGTTAGGAGTTAACTGTATTGTTGAGCTTCAATGTTTGTTGACATTAGTATCTTTTAGACTGCTTAGTAGGCTTAGTAGACTACAGGTTTAGTACAGTATTTAGGAATTGTTACTGATTTTGACATTGAAATGAGTAATTTTTTGGGCATCTAATACATCACGGGTAGCTCTTATGCCATATAAAGTTTTATTACTTTCAAAACACAGGTCCTCAATTTCTGGTGGAACGATTCCTGAAAGGAATGCTTTAATTGCTTAACAGTGGATATATATTTGTGTTTACTTTTGGTAAAACAGTGCTGGCTTGTGAGTAAAACCAGATTCATTATTTATCATTGAAACTCCCAGTCAAGAGACTTAAGTGTTTTTCTTTGATGCTTTTATCCAAATACAAGTCAGTTATTTTTATTAGCTTTGATTATCATTGATCCCCTTAAACTGAGCCTGATGGGAATTAGATTACATTCAGGCATTTTGGGTGAAATTTGGAACCAAGTTGTATACAAATAGAATATAAGTATTTCTCGCTTATTAAAAAAACATTATCCTAATTTTATCATTTTTTATGGAGACAAAATTGCGAAATGTGTATGAGTGTGGGTTCTGACATCAAAGTAATAGGGTTCATATTTTTGCTTACAGTTCTTACTAGGTCATTTAGTATTATTAACCCGTGGTTGATATTCTGTAAAAGGAGGATACTACAGCATATGTCTCATGAGATTAAAAAAGAAATGATATCTAGTTTTTAGCATTGTGTGTGGCCTGTGGTAAGTATTCAGCAAATTCTAGTGATAATGATGGTGTTGGGTCTTTTTTACTCTTGTTTATGCTTCACAGCACTATGAATCCTAGGATGTCATGTCCCATAATGAATAATGTGACAACTGCAATTTTTTTTTTTAAGATTTATTTATTCATACAGAACTGGGGTACAGGCCAGAGGCTCAGGGGCGGCGAGAGGCTTCACCAGAGACAGAGTGGGGAACAGAACAGGCAGATCGACGAAGTACACTGCTGAGGGGAACAGCGGGCGGGTCAGGAGAGGTCTGCCACACCGTGTGGTCACCTCTGGGACAGGCGGGAATCGAACTTTTGCAGAAGTGGCTTTAGCTTCTCAGTGCTGTGCTTTAACTCGCTGCGCCACCAGGGAGGGCCGACAACTGCAATTTTTAATTATTATCCTTTTTTCTCTTTGGTAATTTATTTCTATCTGGAAACCAGTTAAAGGCGCATCACTAACACTTGGACTCACCAAACTTATATTCTTTTTCTCATTTTGCATTAAACTTGTATTTTATGTGGTTGCAAGGTATTGTATTAGGTGCTGAGAAGAGAGAAAAAAATGTCCCTTCACTAGTAATGTACTTATATAATCTCCATTAGGGTGGTAAGCTCTTAGAAAAGAATACTTTCTGGGGCATCTTACAAACCAGTATAATTTTGTGTGCCTAGTTCTTAGTAACTATATGTTGAATCAAATAACCAAAGGAAGACTTTTCTCCTTTTTTCAGGCAAACAGTTCTGCTATTATTGATCACATATTTGCCAGTAAAGCAGTGGTGAATGCCGCAATTCCAGCTTATCACCTAAGAGACCTTATCAAAAGGTACATTACATGTACATTAAAACTTCCCTTGTTTGTATTTACTATCAAAAGAACATTTATTTTACTAAACAGATTCATTATTTTTGGTTTGCTTGATCATGTAGAGGTTTTGTTCCTTTAGAAATAAAAGTTTTCCTTTAGATTCTTTGGAGTGTCTCTGTTTCAGTCTCTATTTTTATTTACTGCATCTAATTGGGTTTGAATTCTCTTTCTAAGAGTTGTTTTCTCTATGGGACTTTGCCCTGAGTGAAAGCTTTGATTGCCTAGTTTTGAGTTTGGTGTTGCAGTAACTCCAACCTCTCAGCTTGTACAGAGCTCCCCTTCATCCAGCTGGAGTTGGAGTGCACTACCCCATGTAATTAAAGATACTTTTCTTAAATTGGCTTGCTTTTTGTGCTTTCTGAATTGGGTACTTGTTGATTTTGAGTTACTATTTCCTGTAGTTGGTCAGATCAGCTGTTCTTTTTCCATGTATTTTCACATATACTATATATGTTCAGGTGGTAAAAGTCTTATTAGTGCTATTAGCAGGTTGGCCTCTTAACATCTTGCAGTTTTTTGGGGTTCTTAGGTATTATTGTTGTAGATATTGCCCATAGATTTTTTATTTTGCTATCAAGGTCTATTATTCTGTTAAATAATCATTTCATCTTGTGCCCTTTTTAAAATTGGATTATCCTAAATATATATATCTAGGTTTTTACACTATACTATTGAGTGTGGATCACATGCCCATGTTGTATATTAATCAAAAATATTACTTTAACTTAAAAGCAGGTCATTGGCATGTATCATAATTATTGAACCATTTATCCATAAGTAGCATTTATATTTTTTTTGTAAATTCAGTCAGTCATGAAATACATCTGTGACAAACATTTAGGCATTTTTATTTTGTTTAATGATTGCATTTTCCAAAGAGTGGACAGTAATTATAAAGATACTCATCTTGCCCTTCAGCATGCTTCATGATGAGCCAAGCAGGAGGATTCCTGCTGAGATGGCATTGTGCAGCCCATTCTTTAGCATTCCTTTTGGTAAGTTCTTTGCATTTATTTTTTCTTGTTCATTTGATAAGAATTAATTTATATTTCTGATTTATATTTATCTTTCCAAAGTTCCTTTGCCAAATTGGTGCTCACCACTTTATTTGTGGTGTGTATATTTAACCATATATAATTCACTTTAACAGCCCCTCATATTGAAGATCTGGTGATGCTTCCTACTCCAGTGCTGAGACTGCTAAATGTGCTGGATGATGATTATCTTGAGAATGAAGAGGAATATGAAGGTCATGCTTCCTAAAGTGTATCTTTTTTAGCTGGGTCTGGAGTGGACATTTTCATAATTAATATAATGAGGATATTGAACTCTATAATTTTAAATACATAAAATACAGATTGCATATATCCCTTCAAAGTACATTATGGTAAAGTCCTAATTGTTTCTTCAATGTGATAATACTTGGAGGTAGAACCTGTAGGGATTTATAGGATTTAATTGGGTCATGAGAGTAGGGCCCTTGTGATGGAATTAATGCCATTATGAGAGCAAAAGACAGGAGTGCTCTCACCGCTGTGTGAGAATATAGCAAGGAGGCAGCTCTCTGAGATACTGAATTGGCTTGTATCCTGATTTTGGACTTCTAGCTTTCAGAACTGTAGGAAAGAAATGTCTATTGTGTGAGCTACTTGCCTTGGCATTTTGTTTTAGGAGTCTAAGTGGTTTGAGATAATTCCTGAGGTCCTTTGGACTTTTTAACATCTTGTAAGTCCTTACCAAATTAATAAAGGAGATGAATTTTCTCAACAGCTTCTTTCTGTGTATTCTAGTCTTGTCTATGCTTATGACTTACTGTTACAGCTCATTTTTTTCCTGAGTACTAGCTGTGTTCTTAGTACTGCTGTTTATTTCCTGTCTTACTGAGAGGATAGTCATATAAACAATTACAGTTTTGATAAACTGAAGGTATGGTAGTACACAGAGGCAGAGATTCTGAGTGATCTGTGAGTATATCTCTGTGAAGGTTATATCTGAACTCCTCAGTAGTTGGAATTGTTTGGCTAAAAGTGGAGTTGGGAGGAAATAAAATAGCACAGAGGCATAGAAATGAAAGTATGGCATGTTTAGAGAAGAGCAAATGGTATGACTGTATCCTAGGATATATGTTGGGGAGTTGTCCATTAAAGCTAAAGTAGCCAGGGAAAGTACAGATATCTAGCAGACTTGTTTGGTGTACGAATTTGGGTTTTACCCCACAGGTAATAACACTGGAACATAAACTACACAAACGAATCTAGGGTAGAGTAGTCTTTAAGATCAGTACTCAGTAAATATTTGTTCTTCATTGAATGCAATAAGAGCCATTGAAAATTTTAAACAGAAGAATGATACAGTTAAACTTGAATTTAGTAGAGCTTCTTCTGGAAGCAGAGTGGTGTGTGGATAAAACAAGGCCAAACCTAAACATATTGCTAGTATTCAACAACATTTTAATGAAAATTAGACCATTATAGTTAAACCTAATTTTTCCTACACTATCTTGTAGGGGTAAATCACTTTATCTCCCTTAATTTTATAGTTACTTACCTCATAAATGAAGCAAAACTAATTTCTCTAATCTGAGATAGTTATAAGAATCTCCAGCCTGGACTATCCCTCAACATTTTAATGTGGTACATGGTTCTGAATAATCTCTTGGCATCAAATTCAAATTTGACTACTGTCTCTCTCACCTTAATTCTGTCTCCTAATTTGATTTCTGTAAAACTGAAGTGTGGATTTTCTTCAGTAAACCCTAGGTAGATAATATTCCTCTGTATCTTGCTATGTGCACTTTTTTTTTCTGTTTCTAAATATACTCAGTATTTAGGTATTTAAATATTGCTGTTAAATCACAATGTTAAATTGCCTTATATGAGCTGAAGTGCAACAGGTAATATAGTATCACTTTGTTATTTCTGTTGTTATTTCTGATTAGCAAGATCATCATCATATTCGATGTGCTGAGTTAGAAGTTATGTGTTATGTTTTGTAATCCTGTTAGGGGCAAGTCTGCTAGATATCTGTGCTCTTGCTGGCTACCTCTTTAGCTTTAGTGGACAACTCCCCAGTATATATCCTAAGATACAGTCATACCAGTTTACAAAAGTGAATTTCATAGCAAGTAAAGATTGTTTAATAAAAGGGAAGGAAGGAAGGAGAACAATTAGGGAGATGAGCGGAGAAAGAGCAATTTTTCAAATTAAAAACAGGGCAGTTTTTTAAATTTGTTTTATTGCTCAAAATATACTCATTATTAGGTAAGTGAATGAATACAGTTTTTTCTTTCAAATTCACATTTTTCCCTGAGCTCATCCATCCCACATTTACACATTAGAATTTTCTTCCTACAAATAGGATTATGTAAAAACTCATGCTTAAAATTCCTTGGAAGTTTCCTATCATCTTCAGGAAGAACTACAATGGAGTATTTCAGAGTATAAGCCAGAGTCAGAGTGCCTAGATTCAGATGCTTACTATTTACTGGCATCATGACTTTGGACACATCATTTAACCTTATTGGTAAAGTAGAAATAATAGGAATGACTCTCAGAGTTGTATTGATTAATAATTTTATATAATATAATGCCATAGGAGATAATGGAAGCATTATATGATCATAATTGATGGAAGGATACAAAACATGAATGTTTTCAGGGGAAAGAACAGAATGGCAGTTGGGAAAGAGGGAAGAAGACTTAAAGGAATTTGAATCATTTGTATTAACTATTCAAAACATCACATTTTAAAATTAAAAAATTAAATGTATTTAACTTAACATTCTTAACTGAAGCTTAATTTTAGAAGAAAATGTAGAAAATAACTTCATTACTTAGATATAGATTCCTGAGTTCTTTGATGCTTTAATAACATCAAAATGATGGTTATTGTTATGTGTTTTAATAACCAGATGTTGTAGAAGATGTTAAAGAGGAGTGTCAAAAATATGGACCAGTGGTTTCTTTGCTTGTTCCAAAGGAGAATCCTGGCAGAGGACAAGTAAGTTTGAATATCAACTTAATTTCAGAATTATGCAGAGCTTAGTAAAATTCTGTACAAAATGTTTCAGTTCTGTAGAAAGATGTACACAAAAATATTGGTATGGGTTATGAATTTTGCATTATGGATGTTTTTATTCCTGTTTTTCACTTTTTCCCAAAAGTTCTGTATTGTGCGTTAAGAATCTTATTCAGTCAAAATTTATTTTTCAAAATGTATTAGTCTACTTTTAAGTCAATGTAAAGAGAATTAAATAGAAATCAGGTGAATCATAACTGATTCAGGTTCAGCTACAAAAATATTTTGACCAAATTTTGTTTTAATTAAATATAGTTAGAAAACCATTTAAGTTCTTTTTATAATAGCATTATTGGCAGTAATTTAAAGAAGTAACATACACTGCACAGAGAACTCTGAAAGCTGAGGCTAGTCTCAACACAACTGGCCTTGTGGTAGGTGTTAATTCTTTCATGCATAAAATGTTTGGATTAAAACTGAATACAAAGTTTCCATTAGAAATTTTGATTCTAAATTAAATTTTATCTCTGGTTGTTTTTTCAACTTTGACACTATTGACATTTGAACAGGGCAATTCTTAGCTGAGGGAGTTGTCATGTGTATTGTACGAAGTGCTCATTAATTCCTTCCACCTTGTCCCTTATTTCCCTCCTAAGTTGTGTCTAACAAAAGTGTCTTAAGCACTGCCCTTGGTGGTGTAACAATATTTGTAGATTATCTTACAGTTCAATATTATGAAAATTCTAGGCAACTAAAAAAAATTTCACTCTAATATTAGAAACAAATTATTGCCAAACTAATATTAGTGGTGTTTACTCATTCTGTGTCTGTATGCTGAATGTGTCATTGCTGTTTATGTATTCAGCTAATTGTTACTGAGCATCTATTTTATGTTCTAGCCATTGGGATGTAATAGTGATAAAAACAGACAAAATAATGTGTAGTGAGACAAAGACTAAGAAGAGGTTGGAGAAGTGCTGTGGTAGGCCTCAATTTGCAGTGGGCGGAGGGAAGGACAGACTCACATTACATTTGAACTGAAATTGAAGTAGGTAAGGAAGAGAATTCTAGGTAGAGGGGATAGTTACTGCCAAGACCCTGAGTTTGCCCTGCAGGTTTGAAGAGTTCAGTGGGGCAACAGCAGGGTGAGGAAAAGGTGAAATCCTAGTGGATTAGACCAGAGATGTCAGGAATTTGAAGTAGATCCAGTGGTGTTAACTTTGCAACCTTTGAGGCAGTGCTGGTTTTCATTGATTCTGCATGCAAAGGGAAGGCATTGGAAGGCTTTGAATTAAGGACTACAGTGATCTATCTATCAGTGGTCAAAGTGAGGTGGAAGACAGAATATAAAAGTGAGAGGACTATTTTGGGGGTGAGGAAGTATCTAATTTTAAGATCTCCTTAAGTTCCTCAATGAGAGGAATTTTACTTTGTTATGAAGCTTTTCACTGATATTTAAAGGAGAATGAAAGCAACTTTTGATAAACTTAGAATCACAGGTTTTAATATCTTTAGATTATCGACAATTTCTTATCTAGATAGCAAAGACCATCTATTTGAATTGAGAAATTCCTCAGTTTGTCAATTCAAATGAATCTGTTACCATCTTTTTAAGGAACATTACAGTTACCATGGAAAGTAAATTATGGAATGTGTTTTAAAATTTCAAAAAGTCAAAATTAAAATAATAGCTCCAGGGGCCCTCCTTGGTGGCGCAGCAGGTTAAAGCACTGCACTAAGAAACTAAAGCCACTTCCGCATGAGTTCGATTCCCGCCTGCCCCGGAGGCGAGCACATGGCGAGGCAGACCTCTCCTGACCCGCCTGCTGCTCCCCTCTGCAGTGTACTTCGTCGATCTGCCTGTTCTGCTTCCCGCCTCTGTCTCTGGTGAATCCTCTCACCCTCCGCATCTCTGGCCTGTACCCCAGTTCTGTACAAATAAATAAATCTTTAAAAAAAAATAATAGCTCCAATTTTTTAGCTTCATAAGAAATAAAAATAAGGTTATTTTGTTTATTTAGTTTGGAATAATGTAATGTATAAAATTACAGATTGTCTATGAAGCAAAGAGTATGAAAAAACATGATAATTCCTTCTGTAAGTGTATGCTCACTTGCTATATGTATATGTGTGGATTTGGGAGTTATTTAGCATAAACTTAGAAAAATCTGAGCTTCATTCTCATTGGACATTATCTTCCAATTTCTCTTGTATTTAATGAAAAAACATATAATTAGAAGCTAATTGATCCAATATCTAATATATACTTTTGTATAAAGTTATAATATTTTACCTTTAAGGTGAGTAAAATTAGCATTAATGATGATACAGTTTAATGATACAGATCTTAAATTATTATATGAAGGATACCTACTATGAAAGAAATCATGCAACATTTTATCAATGGTATTTTTTTCTTTGCAGCTAGCTTTAAAATAAACAGTCTGACAGAAGTGTTTTGGTCACTTGGAAGTGCTTATATTTCCAGTGAATGACATAGCTAGAGAGGTTTTAAGAGCAGCTGAAAAGTACAACTTACCTTTATATGTGTGAAAAGGTGGTTTTTAGCACTGGGTGCTCTTTATTTTCAAGAGGCATAGAATGGAAGAGGCATATATAGATAAGCTATAGATTAGAAGAGACAATCAGTCCCAGCTCAGTTTTATAATATGTGAATTTAGAAAATCCCATTACAGACTCAAATACCCTACACATCATTCTTAACAGAAATATTTTGCATACAGTGGGGAAGGCATGGTGTTTGTTTACCTATGAAAGATTTCATTAAAAATATGCTGTATTTGGAATTGCCTCTTATTTTCCTGCCTTAAAGGTCTGTGCACTCTTACACCCTGTAGAATAACTTTGTTAAGTCGGAGAGAGGGACCTGTGATGGGGGAGATGGAAAAGGGTAATCTGCCTGAAATTCTTAAGTAGGTTCAATTTTAGGAAAAGTTACAAATGAGAGTTCAGAAAAGGCAATTCTTTTCTCATACAAATTCACAGGCAACTGGGACAAATCACAAGTTATTTCTCCTCCTTGTGACTTTTGCTTTAGATCAACAAAACAAGTTATAAATTGTTAGGCTGTATCCTCTGAGACCTTACTCACGTTGGAATTCAGGTGCTCTGAAAAAGGAAGTTGTCTAGTTTCTGCTATAATATGGCACCTACAGATCTTTAAGAGGTGTAATTTTGATAAGTATTTTCTCCTCCCACTTCTAAAAGTGGAATTTGAAAGACAGTTTCTCTTAGGGCTTTTCCTGTCCTAGTCTTCTCAAATGTCTAGCACTATTCAGCTCTCCTGTATGAACTTAGCAGAAGGTTGTGTATTTTTTATCCCACTTGTCTTTGATGAATTGTTCAAAATTGAAGAACCCTATGGAAAAATTCTAAACTTTTTTGTTCAAAAAATATGGTCCATGGACCAGTAGCTTTAGCCTGATCAGGGAGTTTGTTTAGGAATGCAGAAACTCAGGCCCCACCTTATACCTGGTGAAGCAGAATCTGCATTGTAACAAGGAAGGTCTCCAAGTGATACACACACACACAC